TGATGCGTTTAGATCTTGAAAGGAATCGTCCACGGAAATATCATGATGCTATCTCACACATAAATCGCTGGCTTGGGCTCGTCATTCACGATAAGGACGAAAAGAACAAAAACAAAACAAAGAAAGGAAAATTTGCGTTTTTTTTTTGGTGAACAATTCGAAAAACCGGAAGGACTGTTACGCGTTCAATTTCCCGCCGTACATCTGTCACAAATGTTGGCGACGGAACGATTCCACTTGGTTCTCGGACTGCCTTCACTAGGTACCTTTTTGTCCTTTGCCACTAATGGCAATAACAGTTCTCTTCTTTATTGCATCCTATCCTATCGATAGTTTCGTCCCATCCTCCAAATTCGAACGTGGCTGCTCCAAAATGCACTTCTTTCTATCCATTCCCTTTGTTTCCGCCCTACCTACTGGAGATTGTCCGGTGTCAGTGTGGAACATTCACATCAGGTGGCAGGGTCATTTGTGGTGATCATTTCTGTGTTCCCTGCTTCCCGGGAGTCGTTATATCTTGAATTACCCGGTATACCGGTTCCGCGAGATTTTTGTGAGTTCTGACGAGACATTTTGTGGCGAAATATACCAATGCCGACAAATGCAGGTGTTTGCTCTGAATTCGTCCGGTTTGATCTGATCTGTCACTTTTTGGTATTGGACCACTGCACCTTTCTAATGATTCATTTAAACATCAGTTACGGCTTGGGTAAATTGATGCTGAACATTTTTCGATTCCGAAGGTTGAGCACCTTCGTACAGTTGTACGGAATTTCTTCCAGGAACTGTGACCGCTTTCAAAGCTCACTTTATGTCGTGAAGAACAGTGGGCTTCATCGATCTCGTTCCGTGAAGCATACAGTTGACCCTGCTTCCTCTTAAACGGAAGGGTTTCCCCACCAGGCTGCCAGGTTCTGTTCACCGAGTTTCCCCGCACCTACGGCCCCTCACCTCTCACAATCAGTGGGTCAGATACGGGCTCTTTTGTGTGTATTCTGCGAAACACGTCTGGTTATTGCCCAGCTTACAAGGAACATAACAAAACAAGTCAGGCAGTTCCTTCACTATGTGTAGTCGCGAAATTGCTAGCGAATCCATTCGATCTCGAAACGTGTCTCTCCTCGGTCGAAGGGTAAAGGAGAATTCCACGATAAGGTCGGAGGCAGGGTCAACCCTATCGTTGTTACTCTTTGGAAATTTTTTACGACCCCCCCCCTTCATGGGTGATTTGATACGACCCCCCTTGTATGTGACACTTGTGTAGAGACAGTGTTTACCATCAATATTTATTTCTACGTAAGTCATCAAAGATGAAACTTTAGCAAAATCCACGACAGATATTCATCGCTGCTTCCAAACAC